ATATATATATATATATATATATATATATATATATATATATATACTTATTTTGATTTTTTAAAAAGTCCATTAAACAAGAACTAAGCCCTAATACCCTGAAACAAAAGAGTATGATACGATAAGAATTTCAACAGGCTTGAAAGAGAATATAAATACCACAAGCCAGCTAACAACCACAAGCTAACCAGGCTTCTTTCAACCAGCCACCTCCAGAGTTTCTCAGTAAAAAATTTGAATGTACCTGCATGTGTATGTGTGAGAGATGTTCTAATGTTTTCTCCTGATCTCCAGTGGATTATCTTGAGGACCCCCTGGGGGGACATATAGCGTACCCCCCCATTAGAGAGATTTTACTTTGAACAAGTGTTCAGGGAGAGACTGAGCAGAGAGCTAGAGGGAGAGGCAGAGAGGGAAAACCAAAAATGGCAACACTGACCCTCCTCTCACCTCGAGCAGTTTAGCTCTAACCTAACTTGTGACCCCTGCAGGCAAAATAAAGGTCCAGAGCTTAACTGGACACCCCCTTCAGTAGTTTGATGTTTGGAGATGCCATGTTTTTACTCAAGTACCTGTATCCAAAGTCTCAGCCTCCCATTCCTTCATCCAGGTACAATTGTTTCCGACAAGTTCTTATAAATACAGTTTCCTTCACAGCTACACTTCCAGGGATGTTTTAGTCTTCCCTACCTCATGCGATTACAGAACTCTGTCATTTAAAGCTAATTTTGCACTGGAGCCAACAAGGCTACCGGGAGGAAGAAAACTTACCTGGGTTCCAGAGAATCTACTTAAGAAAATAAATGGGCGAACAGCTTTGATGGCTCTCGGTGAACATGTCTGCGCTTGCCTTTTATAACATAGCCACTGCAAGGGCAGCAGGAGCTGGGGGTTTGGTTCAAGGCAGCAGAGCTTGCTGGCTTCAGAGTCAAAACAGAGGTCTTAGAAATCGTGTGTGTGTGTGTGTGTGTGTGTGTGTGTGTGTGTGTGTGTCTGCGTGCATGCGCATGTGCGTGCACTTTAAAAACGAAAAACAAAGTCACAGACATTTCAGAATTTAGCTCTTGGCCAAGGAACTTCTGAGAGTTTGCCAGGTGATATGGAACAAATGAAACATTTAAGACAATGGACTGTCCTGGAAAAGAAAATCCTTGAAAAGAATGCCCCCCTGACACTCCATTACCTTATTCGAAGGGGTTCCACTCTCCACAGAGATCTGGCTCTCGTGCCAGCTCCCCCAGCTTCGTAGTATATCCTCCTGTGAGCAGAGTTGGAGATTAGTTCCTCTGTGCCAGATGCTGATCAGCACCGGGCAGGGAACAGCTCCCTGCAGAGGCTGCTCAGAACCCGCTGTATTTCGAAGCCCTCACAGAGTCAGCAAAACGAGAAGCAAGAGTCAAAGGAAGGCACTACTTATAAGGGAAAAAGGGTGCTAAAGGGGAGGGAACTGCTAGCCACATACTCATCAAGGACACTCATGGACCGTCAGGTGTACAATGGAAAAAGGACGGTCTCTATTTCCACATCAGGAGTCAAAACAGCCCAGTCACATCATCAGACGCGACACCAAATGCTCCAATTCTTTCTCGTTCAGCTCACTGATGCAGTTTCACATCTTTAGAAAATGCATTTGTACTTCTAAAACGTATACGTAGTACTGTGTGAATTCATTTCCATTGTTCTAGGAAGCTGGGCACAAAGCTCTATTCTCAGTTGCTGTTGTCTCCTTTCCTGCATTAACAATAATCTTTTAATGTGTTTTTAACTAAAATGTTTATTTTGGAATAACTCGACATTTATAAAAAAAAAAAGTTGCAAAGATAGTCCAGAGAGCTTCCGTATAGTCTCACTCAGTTTCCCCTACGGTTATCATCTTACATTACTATGGTACAGTTGTCAGAACTAAGAAACCAACATTGGCACATTATTACTAACTAAACTCAAGACTTTATTTGGATTTCATCAGTTTTTCTACTAATTCTCTTCCCGTTCCAGGATCCCACTCTGGAGGTCGCATTGCATTTAGTTGTTATGTTTTCCTTGTTTCCTTTGGTCTGTTAGAGTTTCTTAGTCTTTCCTTGTTTTTCAGGACTTTGCTAGTCAGGCATTCTGTAACATGTCCCATGAATTGGGTTTGTCTGATGTTTATGTGATGATTATCAAAGTCTGACTTTTAATCCATACAATTGGGACCAACCCATCTATATCACAGATTATGAGGAATTAAATGAACTATCTTAGTTTAAAGGTATGTCTCCTTATAGTGGTCCCTGGATTGCCTGGTATACTGAATCCAGATACTCTCTGAGAACCTTGTGACCTTGGATCAACACTGATCATTTAATTGCATTTAATTTCACTAATTTAAAATGCTACCTCTACTATAGAGGGTTTGTATATATCACAATCAATTACTCAAACTCCAGAAGAATCTTGATCTAAATTTTAAGACAACAGGTAATCAATAGAGGGGAAGAGGAAATGTGTGGTAATTATTTCCTTCTCCCAAGAAGTACTATAGTTATGAGTTGGTTAAAAATATGGACTTGGGAGTCAGGCAGACCTGAATTTGAATCTTTTAGCTGTGTGACCTTGTCAAGTCCCTTCAAATCTCTGTGCATCAGTTTCCTCACCTGTAAAATGAGCCTAATAAGGGTACTTAAGTCACAGAATGGTTGTGAGCATTTAATGGGTTTTATTTTTTAAATAATGAATGCGCACAAAGATGTTCTTGGGTGTACAAAATACTATGTATTGTTGATTTTTCCAAATTTTGTTTAAATATAGATGTTTGTAAATGTGCATCAAAAGCTACATTACCTGGCACAGAAATCCAATAAAACACTGCATTAACAGTGGTTACCTTTTGGTGGTGGATTATAGAAGACATTCTAAACCTTTTTCAAATGTATGTACTATCAGGAAATATGTAGTAAATATTAAGAAAGAAATCCTATGCTACTGCAGAGCTCCAACACCCCAGGTGTCTCTGTGCCAGGCCCAGAATAGTCATGATGCTGTACTGACCTAGCCCTGCAGGAAAATTTGTTGAGATTTTCACTGATGCTTCTCCATCCTCAGTGAGAGGTGGAGCAGATCACCCTAGGTCACATGATTTGAGAACTCTCTCCCTCTGACATTTAAAGAAGGTTGGTCCTTCCCACCTAGGAAATGCGGGTGGTTTGCTCCACTGAATCTCGCAAGGTTGTAGAGGTTGAAACAACCTGCCCCCCGCTCTCAAACAATTCCCCAAGGAGAGGAGGTGAGTGGGTGGGGAGCTGAGGTGCTCTGAAAGCTTGGCTGACAGCTTAGCCTTAGTTTCAGTAAGTTAAGTGACTTATTCCAGGATGCTTGACAAGCCTGAGGCAGAGGCAAGGATCAGAGCTCAGAATGTTAGATTATTCTTTAGGCTTTGCACCCTGGGACGGTCAGCCTCTCTACCCAGCCTGGCTGCTCTTAGGCTTTACAAGGAATGATTTCCTCTGGAAAGTCAGCCCCATTACAGTGGAATCACTTGCATGCCTTCCTGACTCTGGGCACCTTTTTGTGTGTTCTTGATTTCCTATTCCTTTGTGCTCTCCCAAATTTCGGTATTCCTGGCTATCCTGGCCAGTTCTGAGGATTTACCTGATGACACACGACAATGATGAGGCTTACCACGCACCTCACCTAGACAGCAAATAATGCCAAAGCATCCTGTGTTGAATGAGAGACCAGTTGCTACAAAAATCCGAGTTCCAGTATAAGAAGCCACTGCTGACTCACCCCAGTCTCAACTCCTTCATAGGAATAGTCTTTTTATTTTTCCTTACAAAGGAAAGGAATAGCCTTTTTATCTGTCGATTTCTTTTTTTCCCCCAAATACAAATTAGATCACATGAAATCCTCGGCCAAAGGAAGGCCATCTTTGCTCTTAACTCAATGATGGCATGCATGCCTTCCTCAGGGGGCCCATTCTGGGAATTCCTCTCTAACTGTTTCACTCTCCCCAGCACCTTCTTTCAAATACTTGTCCAGCCTTTCTTTTGGGTCAGGATCTTGTTGAACCACTCAACAGGAGTGCCCACCAAATGACAAGCTTCTCCAAGTAGCACTGTTTCTGCCCAGATGCTTCTAATTTGATTCTAAATTTAATGACAGGTGCATGTGTGTGTGTGGGAGGGGTAAAGGGCCATGCAAATGTTATCATTTTAATTGTTTCCAAATTCCTTTCCTTAAAAAAGGAATAGGAAAGGGAAGAGAGAACTAGTGAGTTTTGACCTGTTCCATCTTAGATGTAGCCAACTCTGCCAAACTCACTGACAAAACTTCAGTTCTGTATCCACCTGCAAGCTTTTGCCTTACTGCAGCAGGATAAGATATTAAAGAGACAGTACGTGGGCTACTGCATAATTTCACTGTTTAAAAAAAAAGGAGGGCTTCCCTGGTGGCGCAATGGTTAAGCATCCACCTGCCAATGCAGGGGACATGGGTTCGATCCCTAGTCCGGGAAGATCCCACATGCCGCGGAGCAACAAAGCCCGTGCGCCACACCTACTGAGCCTGCGTGTCACAACTACTGAAGCCCGTGCACCTAGAGCCCGCGCACTGCAACAAGAGAAGCCTGAGCACCACAACAGAGTAGCCCCCGCTCGCTGCAACTAGAGAAAGCCTGTGCACAGCAAAAAAGACCCAAGACAGCCAAAAGTAAATAAATAAATAAATATTTTTAAAAATAAATAAATAAAAAATTTTAAAAAGGGAAAGAAAATTGCAACTGAGTAGGATCACATGACATTATTTAGAGTAGGGAATCCTTAATTCCAAGGGAAATCAGGTCAGCCTAACTCTTCTACTCAGAGATAACTGCCAGCCACTGGACCAGTGCCAGGAAGGCTAGACACCATTCCGGGTCACATCTGGTTCCCATGAAGGGATACACAGAGGACAGAGCAAGTAGAAAGAGGTTCAGAACAATAAAGGATATACATTGCCAATGGGTAGTTTCTAAGATGCACAGTAACACACTCAAGCACATTGCTCCTGGGGGTCCTTTAGAACATAAAATAAGGAAGGAGCCCTGGCTGGAGACTCAGCATCTCCGGGTTTCAGGCTCCCATCTGAAATCATCCAGTGTGTGACCTTTGGCAGGAGCCTGACTTAGATGATTTCTAAGATGTGTGAATGTGATCATGTGTTTCTAATGAAGTAAAAGAAATGCAGTTAATGAGGTTCCCGTAGGCGTCATGCAAAAAACCAAAGAATGTATTACGAGCGATCTGGGAGATCAGACTTGTTGCTGTCTTAAGTTCAGTCTAATTTACATCTGAGATTTGATTTTTTAAAATATATCAGAGTTCCATAGTTACAGAGGCCAAGCTTTTTATACTCTGTTCCTCTATATATAAACAGAATACTAAAGGATGGTTCAGTGTGAATTTAAGACGTAGATTAATATCTTCCATCTCCTGATTTTGAATTTTGGAAAAGCATCCTTTGAGTAGATAACTAGAGATCCAAAGAAAGCATCATCCTCAGCAGTACGCTCTACATGCTGCCCCTGGCACCATCCCCTGCTAATCCAGCTCTGGTTGGATACTGACATTTGCTTTCTCCAATCCTGTTTGATGATAAGCAGAATTAAATCACTGAACTTCACCTTCATAGTACATAAAAGGGGGAGTAATAGAGATGATCTGCCTTTGAAGAGCCTGGTGAATAATTTATGTAAGTGCACAGACTCACTAGAATGACTATCCTGCTTTCCATCACAAAAATGGGTTCTTCAGGGCTTCCCTGGTGGCGCAGCGGTTGAGAGTCCGCCCGCCGATGCAGAGGACACGGGTTCGTGCCCCGGTCCGGGAAGTTCCCATATGCCGTGGAGCGGCTGGGCCCGTGAGCCATGGCCGCTGAGTCTGCGCGGCCGGAGCCTGTGCTCTGCAAGTGGGAGAGGCCACAACAGAAGGGCCCACGAAACCAAAAAAAAAAAAAAAAAAAAAAAAGTGTTCTTCAGTCTACAATTAATGCTACCAGGAACTCCTTAGATTTGGAAGCAACAACAGAAAACAAAGGGATTGAAAAGCACCACAGAATTGTTTGCCTAAGAAGCAGCATGTGTATATAGCTATTCCTGTGAGCACACTCAAGCATACTGCCTTTCCTGTTTTATAACTGCAACTCATGACTGGAGGGAAGTTCGTCAATTAACTGACACTTACAGAATTCATCTGTCTCCACATCCAAAAGCCAGCTCTTTAGCCTGAGTCACCGGAGACAGGAGACAAGAGAAGGATGAAGCTACTGGCTTACCTGTGCTGGGAATCATTCTGGTCTGTAGATGGTATTGTCAAACACTCATCGTGACCATGGAAAAGACGTACTACATGCCCACCAAGTAGGTATCCTATAAGAGAATTATATCCTACCGTGAGCTTACAGGAAGTTGAATAATGAGAACACTGTATTTAAAAAGGGTAAATTCATGCATATCTGAGTCAGTTATGGAAAACACCAAGAGAAAAAGCATTTGGGAAATGACAGATTCCACGACTTCAGGTCTCACGTAGAAAAGACAAGAAAGTCAAAACAATTCGAACATTGAACGTTAAATAGGGTTTCAGAGATGAGCAAGTCCAGTATCAAAAGGGAGGGTGAAAACAATGTGTCAATTCATATCATTAAAAGCCAAAAGGTCACCTGTAACTAATATAATGTTGTATATCAATTATGCCTCAATAAAAATAATGCAACATTTAAAAATACACACACACACACACACACACAAGGCCAAAAGGAAATTTAAGCTGCTACTCTTAGGAGGATAAGGATTTTCCAGTTGTTTAGGATATAAATACATCCAACACCAAGTTCCTGGATAAACTGTTACAATCTGGATGTGTATACTTTGTGGCAAATTCCAAATCAAATTGTAGCCATGAGAAAGAAAGAAGGTGCTGGGAAGGGGGAAGCAAACTGTTATTCCGAGCTCTCTTAGGAGGAGCTACTTTTCCAACGCGTTAAATAAGCACAGATCAAACCAGGACACTATTTCTATAGCACCAAGGAGAAGGCAGAATGACATTCCAGAATCTCTGAGTGGACAAGCACAGAGGCAGCTATCAACGAGCCCTTAGCTTTCAGAATAAGGAAAGGAATCTCAACAGCCATGGAGTTCAGAGATGGATAGGAAACAATGAACTTCAAGGACTCGATGACCTAACTGGTCTCCATTTAAACAACACAGTAGTAGGAGAGGGGCCCCAGTCTGAGCTTTATCTTGCATGAAGAAATGAAATTCGTTATCCCTTTGAATTAAAAAATTCTCCCAGCTAGACAGTTCTCAGGAGACAAATGGACTTAATATGTTCAATGTCCGTATCAGGATTTTGAGAAAATCACATAATTAGATTACTTTAGGGGCTGTCAAACTATTTAGGGTGTGGGAGCAAAACAGCGAGAAGGAAAAGTCATGCCAGAGTAGAAAAGGGTGTTATCAATGCATCTTATACAGGGACAGTCTGATATTCTCTGGCTCATTTTTCTTCATCCAGGCAAGGCAAGTTCTTTTTAAACTTCCCTCAAATATTTAGAAGTCATTTTATCATTTTTCCTCTCTCTTACTGTACTAATATTTGCACCTGCATACTTTTTTGCATTAAAATAATTCATGATATACTGTAGTGGAATTGTTAACAGCCAATTTGTTTAGAAAATTAACCCCTTCCATGATCACATTTTTTTAAAGCATTTTTATTGGAGTATATTGCTTTACAATGTTGTGTTAGTTTCTGCTGTATAACAAAGTGAATCAGCTATATGTATACGTACATCCCCATATCTCCTCCCTCTTGCCTCTCCCTCCCACCCTCCCTATCCCACCCCTCTAGGTGGTCACAAAGCACCGAGCTGATCTCCCTGTGCTATGCAGCTGCTTCCCACTAGCTACCTGTTTTACATTTGGTAGTGTATATATGTCAATGCTACTCGATTAAACTCTCCATCGTCTCATGATGGTGAGGCCATGCTCCCTTTGGAGCCCACCATTTACAGTCCTCAGGCTCCTCCAATCAATATCCTACTCCACAGAGGAAACTGCCAAATGCTGGAGCATCACAGCATTTCTTAGTTGAAACATACCAGGGCAATAATCAGGAAAGAAGGGTCATAAGAAAGATCACTCACTCTCTCAAGGGCTGAAGTGGGTTTCTCATCAGTGGATGCTGAGAGAGCATTTTGCAGTCGGATGACTCAAGTGATCAGCTACCCAGGCTCTATCACAAGGGCACTCAATACTTCTAAAAGCATTGTTGTGAAGTGATATGCAATTAATTAATCTCCACAAGCCCTCTTTTGGGACTGGGCAATAATTTTATTCCTATAGTGGAAATGAAAAAAATTAACATGGAAAAGATTCAGTCAAAAGTTCCTTGGGGAAGAGTTTTTAACCCAGTTCCTTGATTCCTGGTAGAAAGGGAATGATTGACAATAGATTTAGAGCGGTGGGTGAATTCTGGTGTGAAAGAAGAGAGCTAAAAACATATCCTGCTTTTGAAAGGTCTTCCATCAGTTGCCAAAAGAGTTACAAATTTGTTGTTTCCTGATTATTCAATTTAGCTATGACGCCTCCTGAAACTGGGGTATCACCTTGACAACTCTCAGTTTTCCCTCTATTTTCCAACACCATGAAACAGAGAGGCATTCCAAGTTTGAAACTAGTAGGCTCAAGATTTAAAACAGGGTCAAAGCCTGTGATTTGAGTATTTTTAAAAATCCTAATCTTGCTATAAAGTGCTAGAATGTGATGGGATAACCCTTAGGTCATTGACATTTGATTATCGTGCTCAGCTGTGGTATTACCCATGCGTAAGGTAAGGCCAGTGTATTTATTGTACAACTTGAAAGGTGTATTGACTTTGCCTGGCTCCAAGAAATAGGATATGTTGAACAAACTTTGATGATCTTACTTCTAAGAGAACAAGAAAATATGGAGAAAATACCATTTGTTGTTTTTAAATGGCCTTCCATAAATACAAGTAAAAGCAAATGGCCAAATATCCTTTTTTTTTTTTGCAGTGCGCGGGCCTCTCACTGCTGCGGCCTCTCCCGCTGCGGAGCACAGGCTCCGGACGCGCAGGCCCAGAGGCCATGGCCCATGGGCCCAGCCGCTCCGCGGCATGCGGGATCCTCCCGGACCGGGGCACGAACCCGCGTCCCCTGCATCGGCAGGCGGACTCTCAACCACCGCACCACCAGGGAAGCCCCAAATATCCTTTTATTATAAAGTCCTTCTCCCGCCTGTATGGAGAGATGCACTGGGGAGAAATATTTTAAAAAGTCACCTTCTTGGCAAATAACGTCTTCTAAAACTGAACCTGCTAAGGTCTGTATACTTATAACCATAAATAAAAATGAAAAGTCGGTGGGAGAGGGAAGGTACGTCTCCGAGGTCCTGAACACACATAGCGCCAAAACGACAGTGAACTCGAAAGGATTGAAAAATCATGTCAGGAGTGCTCATGTAATCAGAAATCGGGACAGAAAATCATCCACACTAACATCAGAGAAAGGAATTCAGGTGAACCAAAATCACGCTGTGTACCGAGACATTCAGGCAGGAGCTGTGAAGTCGCAGAAAATGTCAATATACGTAGCACAAGACAAACAGGCAGGCTGAGGGCTGAATGCACACAAAGAAGCGCACCTTCCTCGATGCTACTTCCGGAGCACGTAGGATGTACATTCCAGAGTGTTTGCATAAAGGAGGCATCCACTTGTATGTTACCATTTGAAATCGAGAGATGCTGCAGCGGAAACAGAAATGAGACATCCTTTAAATCACCAGGCCAGCCCTGACAGAAGCAGCTCACCTAGAATTTCAAGGATTGAATTAAACAGCCTTACAGTCATCGGGCTTTTCCCACGTAGCCTGTGGGAGATTGTTCCACCCGATCTAGAAGCAGCTTCAAAGTGGGACACTTTATTCAGGGAAGAGGAAGTATTCAGCTACAGAGGTGGCAGACAAGACTCCATCCCCTCAGCTGGATCCCTGATTCAACAGGAAGTTATAAAATGTCTATTCTTGGTAGGAGAAGGGAACTCACAAGTGGGAAAAATTACTCCAGCCTTTGGTCTAGGCAAAGTAAAATCTGCTGGTAGGATTGGCGCTGAGAAGCTTAAAATCTTATCTCTGACATTTCTCTGATCTGCAAGGTATTGCCTCACCTCCACCCCCTAAGGGCTTGCCTTCAACGATGCTTGCCTAGTACCATCCCCAGGTGCAAAATCTCACCTGCCTCTTCTAACCACTGTGACATCCCCCACACTGAAACATGTACAATTCTCTCCCTCCAAACATAAGTTTATGTTTTCATATCCAACACTTTCTGGCTTGTTCTTCATTGGACAAGAGCTAAACAACGTGATAAACTGAGAGTAATGGTAACTAATGTGTTAATAGTTGGCTTTCTAAGGAAGAGCCTGGAGGCATTTAAGCAGAGTTTGCTGGGAACAGTACTTTAATCTAAAAAAATAACTAACGGTTACATTCCAGGCCCCATGATAAACTGGCAGGAGAGAGGATTTAATCACCTCTCAAGTATACTGTGTAAAGGTATCTTATCCTACTCAATCTAATGTGGTTCTGTTTTCCCCGGCCATCTACTCCTAAAAGAAACTACTCTGGAAATGAAAGATGCTTGTGTTAGGAGGTACTTACGAGGTATCTTTCAGAGGATACGCTGACAAGGATGAGGTCATCACCAATTCGAACCTTTTCTCCCTCAGACCTCTGCTTGGAAGCGGGATGTATGGTCCACCAACAGGCTTCTCCTACACAAAGGCTCCTTGAGTTAGTGACTGTTTCTTGGAAGCCAGTGTCCCTAATTCTGTCCCTCATTCTCCTTCCTCCTGATGAGAATCCCTGAAACACGCATGCACGTGCTCACGCACACTCCAATTTCTATTTATCTGTAAGCATTCCAGTTACCCCCACGTCTGCACTTGAGTGTATTTATCATTTTCATTTTCTCTAGAGACAGAAAGACAGTATTTGGAAAAGAGTACTGGAGTTCAGAAGCTATAGAAGCCTTTGAGTATTTTTAATACATATGGTAACATGCTTTTTTTTCACAAGCACCTACAAATCTTTAAGAAATGACTTCATTGGTCTACTGACCACTTACAGACTTTTATCTTTGCCCCACACCTTCCCCATGAAGTTCTACTAAATCATCAGTAATTCCACTAAAAAAAAAAAAAAAAAAAAATCAGAGGTTTTTCAGAAGGCCTAAATCTACGAGGACTAAGACAGCAGGTGAGAAGTTAATAGCAAAGAAGAAAAATTGACATTTTGGAAAAAGGAATGTAGATAGATGCTTTTAGCCAAGAGAAAGCTACAACTCCAGTCTTTGCGTAAGAAAATGGATGAGAAGTTGATCTCAAGAAATAAGGCCACTCCTGCTACAGATTCTCCAGAAACTCTCTGGAATTGGAGGTAACAGTTCCCTGTGAAGGCAACCATAGAAGACGGGGTTGAAAACAGGAGGACTGGCTAAAGTTGGGCCTCTCACTGTTGTGGCCTCTCCCGTTGCGGAGCACAGGCTCCGGATGCGCAGGCTCAGCGGCCACAGCTCACGGGCCCAGCCGCTCCGCGGCATGTGGGATCCTCCCGGACCGGGGCACGAACCCGTGTCCCCTGCATCGGCAGGCGGACTCTCAACCACTGCGCCACCAGGGAAGCCCTGGCTGAAGGTTTTAAGCAAACATTTAACCTTCTGCATCCCTTTCTTTATCCTGCATGCCAGGTGACTCTTCCCCCTCCACTGGACAAAAGAATAGAAGTTAAATCCATGGAACGACTTCCACGGATCAGGCACTGTCAGACAAGGAAGTAAAGAGTATTTGCTGAAAATGGAGAATAATTAGAATTCTTTGCCCTGATTAGTAAAACCCCAGCTCCTCTTCCTTTACCTCCAGTCCTCAGCTTCCAGAATGCCAGCTGCGATGTTGAACCTCCCCCCACCCAAATGAAGATTACTCTTTAGGGAAGCCAAACTACCCAACATAAAAGATACCTGTTTGGGCATCTCCAGTGCAATGCCTAGGTCCCTGCTAGATTACCCCAAAGCGAGGCTTAAGAGACGGCAAGCCACTCACACAGTCAGGACTTCTTGTCGCTTTTTACCGCCTTGATCTAAACATCAGTGGGGACCAAGGATGACCTGACATGTGAGCTAAGTCTCTAACATGAATGACGGGAACAAACCAAAAAGTGGGTAAAGGGAAAAAACGAAGATTACAGACAGCTAAAGATAACTTTAAGCAAATCTTAGAATTAATAATCTCAGAGAGATAAGAAAAAGTAACATTCATGAAGCAGCTATGAGAATATCCATGAAGGATCCCTTCAAAGAAAAAGAAAGTTCTTTGATCCTGAAAAAGAGAGAAAGACACAGGAAGGTTACAGGATAAAGTTGAAAAATTCTCCCAAAATGAAGAATGGAGAAAAACAGATTAGAAACAAGACTGAAAAGAAAATCAGAAAACCGGTCTAGAGGAGTTCCAAAAAGCAAGAACAGAGAAAACAAAGGGAGGAAATTAACAAAGAGATAATATTAAAATTTTCCCAAGGTTGAAAGACAAACATTTTCAGATTGAAGAGGCCTGCAGAGTCCCTAGCACAGTGGAGAATGGACACACACACCAGAGTCCACTCCTGTGACACTAAGAACAAGAAGGATCCAGGACAAGACATAGCACTGTAGAACTGCAGACATCAGGGCAAAAGAGAAGATCCAAGTAGCTCTCAGAAAATATGAACAGGTCACACACAAAAGATCAGGAATCAGAATGTAGACATCTCACAGCCAGACCAAAAGCTAGAAGAAAACCTCCAGGATGCTGAGAAAAAAATATTTCCAATGTAGAATACTCTTATGAGTTACTTGTAAAGCTGGAATTAAGAAACTTTCAGACAACAATTTTTCTCCCATGGATCTTTTCTGTAAAAGCTACTGGAAATGGAGTTCCCCAAAATGATGTGATAAACCAATAAAGGAGAAAAACATGAGATCCAGGAAATACAGAATCTTGGGAGAGAGAAAACGGGAATTTCCCGGATGACAGTGGATGTTTCTAAGAAGATGAAACTGACAGAACAGCTCTTGTGACTGAATGTAATCAGGGGAGAGTTTCCGTTCTATGGGACAGTTTAGAAATGAATGACTGGGTGGCGGAAAGTAAAGCAACAAACAAGGCAATTATTGAGTACTGGACAACTCAAAAGCAATACAGTAAAGTGAACTGACCATAGTATATCATGAGTCTCACTTGCAAATAAAAGTTACGGTTATGCCAATGTAAGTAGTTAATATTGACTTTGGTAGTTATATAAAAAATAGATGCAAATATATTGGGAGTGTGGAAAGACAGGGAAGAGTGGAGACTGAGAGCTAAATTTTTATTATTCATTTAGGACATCAATAGGTCATACCTAATTGGAAAGACTAACTAAATAGCAGTAAACTGTATGACTCACACACAAGTGGGGAACATACTAGAGGAGCTGAAAGTGGACGCCCCAGAGACGCAGGAATTCAGAACGGGGAGGGGGTGGGGCAGGAGATGGATGTTTCCAGTAAGCATAGGAGTACTATGTCTCTCTTTTAACTATGTATGGGTATTACTTTGATTTACTTTGGATAAATAAGTATGATCATTTTGATTACATTTTGATTAAACTTAAAATTTCATAACGGAAGAGGCTAGCCTCTACATCTGAAGGGGGAAATGACATGTATATATCCACTATGTGCTCTGGACCACTGAGAGGGACCAGGATGAAGGGGTCCTAAAGAGGCACACGGGAGAAGAGCATCCTTGTTCTCTCGCCCTCTCCTGGGAACAGGGTAGTGGTCTGGAGCCCAGGGACAGGGCCAATCCCCAAATCAGTAGGATGTATACGGGCCAGGTGAAGGTCCTAAAATACCTAACAGTACATTTAGTGGGGATTTTTTTTTTTTTTCATTTTTTTTCCAATTCTAAACTAATTCTAAAGCTATGTCTAAAACCAAAACAACCACCAAAAACTTTTAAAAGGAGAAAAGAAAGAACCCAATAAGCAAAATCAAGGGCAAAATGGTCAACAGTTCTGTTAGGTCAATCAAATCATTTATTACCCACTGTGCAGGGGGAAAAGTTTCCAGAAGCGTTCAAGAAACTGCTTCCTAACTTCTACTCACATTCTCCTAGACATTCAACTCAACTACTTGTTTTCAGCTCAGAAGAGGTTTCTGAGCCAAAAGTGCATTCACAGAATGACCTGGGTAAAAAACAATGCTCTTCTGTTGGATCCTGAGTGACTCTCTCCTGAAGAGAGAGGACCCACTGTGCAGGGGGAAAAGTTTCCAGAAGCGTTCAAGAAACTGCTTCCTAACTTCTACTCACATTCTCCTAGACATTCAACTCAACTACTTGTTTTCAGCTCAGAAGAGGTTTCTGAGCCAAAAGTGCATTCACAGAATGACCTGGGTAAAAAACAATGCTCTTCTGTTGGATCCTGAGTGACTCTCTCCTGAAGAGAGAGGACCCACTCCAGGCCATGCTGAA